TCCATCACATTCTAGTTGGAGGAGGCTGAATTGTATGTGACTGAATTAAAAGACCACGTTATTATCCAGCAACAGAACGAAGATCAGATTTATAACGAAGAAGATGTATTAAACATTTCTGCAGAAGAAAATGTTGCGGACGAAGAAGTAGGTCATCTCGTTGATGGAGAGGTAAATCTTTCTTACTTAGTAAATTCTGCATATATGTTTAGTGAATCATTTAACCATAGTTAATTTCTGTAAGAATAACTAAAACTAAAATGTATAATAACTTACTATTGCAATTTTCAGATGAATTTTGTTGAAAATGAAGGAATGGAGTGTAAAGAAGAAGATGGAGAACAAGTAGAGGAAGTATATAATTATAATGCAGGCGAAGACGGGGAAACAATAGTTGTACCAGCTACCTCAGAGTACAAAGAAATGGGAGGAGACGAGAAGAACGCGGTTCGATTAGTACAGATTCGATTCCCAACTTCCGTTAGTGGGGAAGGCAGAAGTTGGTTAAGCTTAGTACAAAATACATGAACTTTTTTTATCATTACTGTTATGTACTGTAGCTTTCCTGACCTGGGGATCATCTGTCGATAGTCCTCTACTAATAATATAAAATCGATATAAACGAATTGTATAACAATGTAAGTGGGAAGAATGGATGACTTTTGCCTTATACAGTATGTGAGGTGTCATGTTTAAAATGACATAAGCCGAATTTAATTATCATATTATACGGTAGTTTTTTTATATTTAAATACGTTCTTGTAATTTCTATGAGATAACTACTTTACTATTCTACCGAATAACTACACAATTAAGTTAAAGGCAAGAAACTTAAAGAAGATTTCCATTTGAATTTGTCTTGATTCTAATAGTGTTAAAAAAGGGTAATTTACTGTTTTTGGTTTTAGCGGAATCGAAATGATGTGTAAAAATATATAAGCATAAAAGAAAGTATTTTGAGTTATAAACTTTAATAAGACATTTTGTATAATTGTTTACGGTGCAGCAAGTCAGTAGTATAATTTTAATTGTGATGTAAACGTTTTACGCAGGTGCGTTATCATTTCTCTATTTTTGATATTTTATAGGGTTCACTGAATCAATGCGAAATAAGGAAATTAATTATTACCTCAAATTTCTTATTTTGTTTGTTTTGAAAAAATTTGTGAATTTTTATAATCCTTGTATTGACACGAATTTGTAGTTTACATAACAAATTGTTTGTGCATTTAAAGTAAATCTATATGTCAGGTTATGTTAATAAAATGAAAGTATGCATTAGTGAATCGTTTGGTGAAACTTAGTTAACAAATTTCACAGGTATTGCTATTAGAAACTTCATGCGTATAAAAATTATGAAGTGTATTTTTAATTTTTTACGTTCTGATTTTCATATTAGAAGTAGTTTAAAATTAACTTAAATATCTATTGAACATCACACGAAAGTTTAATTTAGAATATGTGTAGTATTACTTTTATTGTTTAAAATGTATACAATATTAAGTTCATTTGCAAGCAATGTTACGTAAGGAGAATTGAAATAAATATCTAATATGGAAACGAGAAAATGTAGTTAAATTACATTTTCAATTTCCATGTACTGTCAGTTATGTAAAGCTCTTTGTAACAATAATAAGACAAATACGTACAAATAAATAAAGTAATAATGTTCTTAAGCGTTATTTATCTTTTCATTTTTTATTCAGTAATATATGCGACAAACACTTATAAAACATAGATTGTGTATTGTTACATAATTAAAAATGAATGTCGCTTATTGATTTGACTAAACTGTTCTTCAGTGATGCTTGGTTTCTGTGTATTTATGTCGAAATTCATCTATTTTGATTTCCGTTTTATAATAAAGTTTAAAAGTTAGAATAATATCTCAGAATAACAGAAATATTAATTAGTAGTTGAAAATTATCTAACAACAATGAATAAAATACAACATTTTTATTACTATGCAATAAAATCTTTTAATAGAAATATCTTAAAAATAGAAGAGATAAATTTTTAGATAAATTGATATTTATGCGATTAAACTTTAATTGAATAAAGAAATAATTCAATAAACTAAAAATGAAATCTTTTCAATAATTAAAAAAAAATAATAGATTTTAGTGGCGCATGTGTTTTGCAGAATTTTTAGTCACCTGAGTTTGATGAATGATAGGATATTACGGAGCACTGAGATAATCCATTCAGCGATTAATTGTTACGCTATTGTAGCCCGGGCCATCAAACAGCTTCTAGTCTCTCTCAATAAGTTAAATTGAGTGTGAATAATATTCGAATCCGCCGGTCTCCGTGTCGAAGATTCCTACCCTAACATCTCTTCATTCAGTTCCGTTTTTCAAGACACGCTCACAATAGCGTGTGAGAATACTTTATTTTACATAAAGAAATGGAATTTTAATAGTTTACCATTAACACTAAACGTACCGTTACTTTGTATATACCTATTCTCACTGTAGTCAAATAATCGACTATAAAATAAACGTAAATAAGTTAGACGATCAATTTTTCTTATTGGAAACAGAAGTAGAGGAAAAGAAAAAAATTGGAAAACCGATTAATCGAACAATGTAGGAATTGATATAAAGCTAAATGAATGAAGAAAATCGCAGGATCTTAAATCGAATTGTTAAATTCATCATTTGATCGGTTGCAGTACGTTTAGTGTTAAATAATCGTAATTTTCACTGTCACTTTCACACTTTAGCGACACACGTACGTCAAATAAAATGATTTCACCCATTTTCATGTATTACATGCATTGCTTCCTCTTTTTTGACGTTACATCCAAATTTTGTTCAACAATTGATGGCACAGTAGAATTTCATATTTAAAACAGTATATGTTTTTCGAATAGGTAACTGTTTTACATAGTTTTTACATTTTATAGAAAAATTAGATAGAAAAATTTCTGTCCTAAAGAATAAGGCAATACACAGCGCAGTAGAAAATAATAACAATGAGTTCTAAGATAACGACGCAAGAAATCTTCATTTCCTAGTAAGATAATTTACACGCATAAGACGCTTAGGAATTCTCCCCTCACTCGTCTTGAACTCAAATGCAGGAATGCATGACGCTTCTCACATTAATTAATCGGCAGTCTAATTGAATTGCGTTGTTAGTGAGCCACGATTTCGGTGTATCCTCAATGTTTCATCAAATATGTGTAAACGCACAAAACGAGTATTCATGTCGAATAATTGTATTCCGAACAGAACCATCGTTTCCCTCAACATGCCAGTAAATCCTAATTGAAGAAAATTAATTGTCTTGATGCAAGATTTACTGTCGGGAAAGAAGTCTCAATTTTACAAACTATAATTAATTGTATAGCATACAATGTTCCTTCAATATTAAAAAAGCTCCACGATTATTCATTTAAACGCTGAACTTAGTAATAGGTAAAGAAATGAATTCTATATTATAAGATTAATTGCTTGTCGATCGATTGAAATTTCCTAATATTCCTTTCATATTTCTGTCAACAAACTTCATAATTCTTTTTAATTAAATACAGGAAAAGTTTATAGAAATTATAATAATACCTCTCAACACTTAGGAAAAGTCATTCGTTCTTTAAAATCGCGCGATTCGGTTTAAACGGTAGCTTTCAATTTATTTTCACGTTAATACTGTTTCCACTTTTTTTCCGTAAACTTTTTACTCCACCGGTATTTCAAAGTTACCCTTTGTGGCACCGCGCGTGGTGGTTTCTCCTCTGTTTTCCCGGCTTCAATCTTTCTTCAGAAGTTCCTTCCTTTTTCCCATGCATACACACCGCATGCAAATGTATGTATTATTGTAGCATTCCACGCTGATTAAGAGCCGTGTCCGAAATGAATCTTTAATGATTCCCGTCCGGGTCTTCAAACTCCATTATACCGTGAAAGTAATGATATCATACATTATTTATAATTGTTCCCCGCGATTTGTATTTCTCGAATGTGT